TGTTTCAAAGTCTGTCCGTGACAACATGGCAGCAATAGGACACGAAGGAAAAGGTGGAGGAAAGGTAAAATGGCATATAATTGTAAATCTAAAACAAAGGAGATGTTGGTATTATTTAATTTGCATTTGCTGCAACTACCGGATATCATCTACGATCACTATTGCAATATTCACTGTCTACCGAAAATAATCTAGTGGAGATAAAGGATCAGTTGGAAGAAAAACTAAGCACCTATTCTGGTATATCAGGAGGCATCAAGTATAAGGAATAAGAACAGCACTTCTCCCAGTGCAGAATACTGAATCATCTCATCCAGTTATGAAAGCAGTCTATGTCATTGTATGGAGAAGAAAAACTTTTGCATGGGTACCAGAAAGTAAAAAATGATCTATTTTCCAACATGTTAAACACAGCAAAAGTTGCTTATATCTTCAACTTTAATAATGAGTGAATATAATTTGAGAGTTAAGACATTGAATAAGAAGAAAAATACAGTGAAAACCATGACATTTTGTGATTTATGTAACAACGACAAGGAAAGTCTGGTGAATGAAGCTTCAGCTATTGCAGAGGACTACGAGAGACAATGTCCGTGACCTTATAACCCAGGTTACTAAGGAGCAACCTTACCACAGTGCGTTCCAGCATCACAATAGAATTTTCCCATAAATCTACAAAATATCAGTAATAGATCCAAAACATACGACCAATACAAAGTATAAACTAAAGAATTAATCATCTCATGCCCTAGAGGAACTGAAGTGAAAAGACCAATTAATCATTCTTGACACCAAGAAAAGATAAAAGGTATCTTATGTCAAATTATCAAACTGTGGTTATATGTCTGATTTTCTTTAGTATGGCTGTATAGTAGAATACCACAAATTGTAAGCACCTCAGTTACTCAGATGCCATTATATTCTAGAAACTATGATCTTAATTAGGAGTCTAACTGAGATGCCCCTTACCAACGATAAAAGACTGGTGTTTTGACACCAAAAATCACCAGACAAAATGGCAAGATAAAAAAAAGAAAATTACTACTAGTATGTAGCTAGGATTCTGTTTCATGCTGTGCCTTATCATGGAACTTCTACCACATTGAAGATACTGATAAGTCTCAGAGCCCATTTCTATGTGGTCACAACCACAGTAGAACATAAATAATAGACCCAAAGCTGCGTAAGTGGGATCAAGCTTGCTGAAGCAGCAATTCTCTGATATAGCATATACTGAAAATCTTACCTCCCCAGCAAACAGTCGAGGTCTCAAGCCCAGGGCAGAACATGGAGCGTCAAGAAGAACACGATCAAAACTGTTAGGCATGAAACCTTTTGAAGTTTCCACCCTACCACCCAAGGACTGATTTCTTCCTGGTCCATTTCTCTGTCGTGGTGCATTCTTCCTCTTGGCAGCATTGCTGAGATGTCTTCCATCTGTCTTTCCATTACTGACTACAAAATAAAATTGATTTGGTTATAAATGTTAGATGGAAATGAGGTCTGTTAACTATGGTCATTGGAAATCTATTGATGACAATTTATAAGTTCAGCAAGTAGAACCACACTAGCCCATTGGTCTAAAAACACACACACCGTACATAAATGAGTTAAAAAACAGTACTTGAACAATTCGGATTACCTACAAAGATCTTTTTTCAGCCATTGAACTTTTTTTCTGATAGCATCTTTAGATGACTATATAAATAATATTTTCTTTTACCATTTCCACTAATTCTGTTTTAGCCTTCAGCTTCCTCTCCAAATATCTCTAATCTGAATCATTTCACCTAGCCTTCTCCTATGGAATTTACAAGACTTATATGGGCACATAGGAAGCACCTTATACAATTCCCTTCATTTAATTCTTGGTATTAACAGTAATTTTTCATGTACACAATTAACAAAGCATGTATATCCTATAAGAACCATTCAGATTCAAACCACTAATGCGACTTTGGTTGCATAAAAACAAGAACCACCTTATGGTAGGAAATGAACATCATCAAGTGATTGATCCAAATGCTCAATTTTCTTGTAAAAATTTGCAACAAAGAACAAGAATCTGCCCCAGTAATCTAGCAAGCTAAAATATATTTAGAATAACTGAAAAATGGGAGTGTTTGTTGCTGACTATCATCATAAGTCCACCTATTATTACCAAGGACTACAATACCCAATGATACCGCCCGTATTGAGCGGTACCGTTGATCTAGCCCTGTATCAGACGATACGGGACTGTATCGGGCAGTAACGGTCGATATTTCGACCGTTACCACCCGAAATAGGTCGGTAAAAGTTGATTTCTACCGTCGCTGCCCGCTACCGAGTGGTATCAGCCTGGCTGCGGTGAGAGAAGAAGAAGCGTCAAGGGAGAAGAGGGAGAATTGGGAGAACCTCGACACTTCTCGATCTGGCGCCGCCCTCCCTCGACAATCCCGATCCAGAAGATAACAAAGATGCAACAGCTCGGCTTCTTCTTCACTACGTTCTTGGCCGAAGGCTGGAGACGTCTGCGGCCTTCGATGTCTTCACCGAACGTCGCAGATGAGGAGAAGACCGTGTTCTTCTCCTCGTCTGATGCGACGAGAAGAAAAGGAGGCAACGTTGCCGAGGCAACAAATGCCTCTTTCTTTATTTTTTATATTATTTTTATATTTTTTATATATTAATTTTTATATTATATATATACGTATCGAGCGGTATGCCCTATGTACCGCTCGGTATGCTCGTACCGTACCGTATCGAGCAAAGCTCAATACGCCGGTACGTTATGAAATTATGAACCATGATTATTACCTGCATGCACAGAACACGAGTCACATCAACAAGAAACAGTGTTGCATTTCTTGTGTGATTCCAAAGCAATCCAGCTCACCAACTGAACAATTTAAGAGCAAGTTCACACTAAGGGTGTTTAGCAAGCAAGAAGCATACACAACAACCAAGATAACACATGGAGGAATATACAGTCTGTCCTCTGGGCAGATATCACCAGTAAACAGGCTAAAGAGGACATCCAAATGCCAGAGAAGATGATACGATGCTCAAAAGGTAAGTATTTTCCTCATTGTTTGCCCTTTAGATTTTTCACATCTAAAACCAGATTGTGTTTTCCTTGGTATATAAAATCATTCAGAAGATATTTACATTAAAGATCAATAAATAACACAAGTAGCTCTTTCTTAGACCACAATCATGAACAATGAATAATTCTCCATGCATATAGCTGATGACTTGTGCACATGTTGGAAAACAAAAGAACAAGCTCCTATGCCTTACGTGTTTGATAGTTTTTACCTGTTTCTGATGGTGTAGCATTGATGCTGCATTTTTCCATCTCAATGTTGATCTTAACATCTGTAGAAAAACTAGATAAGCATGAATTTACTGCTGCAATATCTGGTTCATCATTGTTGGAATCTGTTTTCTCAGAATACAACATTCCATTAGTCCTTTGCACAGATTTAAGTGCATCTAGCTTATATGCCTTTATACAAGTTAAATCCATCTCAGCAGCCAATTTCAAAACATCCATTACCTGAAAGCAATATATGCATGTTATGCTTGGAGATACTATTGATTACAAATATATCGAAAGAGAGGATACAAGGAAAGGTTAGCTTACGAAATCAACAGGTACCATAAAATACATGATATGCAATGATGTACGGTAGTCATCCTTACACTATCATCTAATGGCGGTAAAAATCTGCCCATTTGGAACTCTGTTGATGGGTCAATCAGTTCTAGTATATAACAAATATAGCTCAGTTATATCCTCATGTTGGCTGTCAAACAAACACAGATTGTTCCATTAAAATCATTGGCAGATCCTAGCCAATAATCATAAGTAATAAGGTCCATGCTAGCTATCATTGGTGTGAGCTCCTTGAACCACAAGGAATTGTCTGATTGGGCCCTGCACGGTTCAGAATAGACCCCAAAGGCATCTCTAGAAGAAGAGTCACCTTTGACCCTTTATTAGGGCTTGGTTCCAACCAATATAGCAACCAAATATAGTCTTATGAGGCCCCTGGATTGGGAGCCAGGCCTCTTCTAACCTATATTTTTTAACATCTTGGTAACCTCCATATATGCTACGAAAGGAGTTATATGACTAGTTAACCAACAAGATGTCACAACACACAATAGTTACTCAATTACTCACTTACTCCCTTACAAAACAAAAAAATAAGGCATAATCAGTCCATGTGGGTCCCACCATTATGGGTCTGAGGAGGGTTAATGTTTGGAGTCTTACATCTAAATATAGAGAAGAGTTTCCATTTTCATGACTCGAACCCAATGTCCTCCCTTATGCAACAGATTAAAGAAAAAACCTCTAAGGAGCAGCAAGGGCACGAGGACCCCGGCACTGCAGGGTCCAAGAGATTTAGATTTTGGTGTCCACATACGTGTTTCTATGATCTAATCTATGATGGCCAAGTTGCCACTGAACTAAGTTCATGAACTCGAATATAAACCCTTTTGTGAATGGTTCCAATGCAGGCTCATCTACAGTACCAGGTTGCTACTAGACATGGTCTAAACTGAAATCAATAGTTAATGGTTCAAGAATTAAAAAAACAGATTTTACCTTATTATGAGATCTATCAGTAGCAACAACCTCTCCGTTGTCCCTCATAAGAATTGCAATCGCAGTTGTTTTCCCTCCAGGAGCAGCACACATATCCAAAATTCTTTCACCTTCTCTGGGATCTAAGAAACAGAAACATTAACTCAGAAGACTTAGAATTAAGGTATCCAACAACACAGGCACTATAAGAAATATCATAAAATACAAAATATAGTAAATATGTAATAACCAGAGACAATGTGTTGAACCATAAACATAAATAATTTGAAGTAACTCATAATATACTGTTGCCATCTGGCTATCATGACTCCTTCCAAAAAGAATGAAAATTTGCTACTTTAATTTATTTCGGCACCATTAAGAAATCCATAGGTAACATATGCAAACACTTAACTCCATAGGAAATGAAAATTTCAAAATTGATTGCAGCAAAAAAGATTATTTTTGTACATATTTCATCTGCAATTTTTTAGAAAACCAACCAAGTTAATAACAATCATTCCAATACGTACTATAATGCATCAAACAGATAAAGGTTACACAAATAAATAAATAAACCATCGGGTAGCTTTAAAAAGAAACATCATCCATACATAAGATATTGCATGAAACTTAATAATATCTAAGAGACAAATTACTATTTTAATAAGGAATTATATTTCTATTTTGAATCGATTACGCTATCTTCAGCCAGTAATAGATACTTAATATAATATATCTTCACAGTGAAATGCTTATTTAGAGAAATGCAGTCAACCCAGTATATGCACTTGAAGAAAATTATCTAGGAAAAAAAAATCAACAACACAAAATATGTTAGTAAAAACTAAAATAATTATAAAAATGCGAAATTAACACACACAAAAAAAAAGCAAAGAGGAAGCATTGACAAACTTGACATTATTCATACCTAGGACATAAGCTGTAACAATGCTGGGCAAGTTTTGAAGAAAGATTTCGCCCTCAAGTACATCTAGCAAGAGAGATAGACACTCAAAGTCACTAAAAAATTTATGCTTCATACATAGGCAGTTAAGTCAAAAAATTGTGCTTCAGATATGAGCAGTTATATTTACTGCTGGATAGGGAAATTTTAAGTTTTTGATCATGTAGAAAGACTGCCAGATGAAATCCAATATTCTGATAAAATGCTAAATGACATAAGCTTAGAAGATAAGAAAGATAGCTGCTAAAGAAACATTATACAAAAGTTTCATCACTGTGAATGCATACCATAAAAGGATGGAAGCTTGTATACCCTATTAGTCATCTCCACAGCAATCCCTTCAGAAACACGGAACATAGAAGCCCTTGACAATGAAGTAGTACCTTGACCAATATACAGGCCATTTCTTTCATGATAATGGGGATCTATCATATTTTTATTGGCAATGAATTAGAGTCGATTT